TGTCCCACAGGTAGTATAGCTTGCAAATTGAGGCACAGAACAAGCAAGGCAGCCGCACACTGGTCCGATGATCAAAGAGCGAGAGACAAGAAAGGCAAGGCCGGCTGAGCTATTTGTCTCTCGCCCTTCAATTAATCCCACATGAGTTTATCGGCCAGGCTGGCACAGTAAACTAACTACCTCACCCAGTCTTTCTCCCATGGAACTGCTGGTGGTTTGGAACTGTTGACCATGAGGATCGCAGCCCAACTCATAACCACTCACCACCAAAGCTCATATATCTACATATATATGTGAATATATATATATGTATCTTTCTTTTTCTTCCCCCAGTCTTCCTGACTACCAAGCATTGAAATTATTATATTTTTCTTAAGGTATTCTTTGCAACATATTATCTTGTTGTAGATAGTAGGAGTGAAATCTTTCTTGATTTCCATAATAGGTACTTAGCTAGTTTTTGATAAATTGATTGACTTTATCTCCTGCTATTGGGAGTCATGGTTTTCCACAGAGTGAAAGCAAAAAGACCTTTTTTCTGCTGAAGTCTGTAGGTGTGTTTGGTTGAACAATAGCTCCTGTACATAAAGCTTATTTCTGAACTGATGTCCAGAATTGTGTTCTAGCTTGGCTGCTTTTCTCCTCTAAAATTTATTTTGTTTTCATTTTTAACGTTTTATCCATTAACAGTTATAAACTTGTAGCAGGCCAGTAGAGTCTGTGAATGTGCTATCTGACTGGGATTTTACCAAGATTATCCAGAGCGGAGGCCACATATGATAAAATAATAATATCTCATGTTTATTGAATATTATATATCTTTCCATGTACTTAATATGCATTATTTCCGTTATTCATGTGTCTGCTAACCAAGACTACCTTCACCATCCATTTTCTTCTTTAAGTGTTGTAAATTACATGGTATGGCTCTTCCAGACTTCAGTCTTTGTAAATCCCACTGAATAACTGGATGGGAGCATGCAAACAGTTGTGTATGGTCCTCAAATGTGGGGACTGGTCAGTTTTGCCATTCTGCTGGGTGTATGGTGAGCTGTCTGAGAAGCAGGAACAGAGGATCTCATGAGAGAAGAACCAACAGTGAAGTACATCCTGTGGACCTTGAGATTCCTGTCGAACTTCTTCCATCCAGGAGACAGAGCTGTGACACAAGAGGAACTTCGTTTTTATCCCCAAGACTGTGTTTTCCTTCAACTGCTCCTTCCTCTTTGTTTCTAATCCTATAATTCCACTCACCAATAATTATCATTGCATCTTGATTGCATGTTTGATCAATTTCAGACCAAAAATGTTGGTAGAATTCTTCAATTTCTGCATCACTAGCTTTAGTGGTTGGTAAAAAATTTGAATAATAGTTGTATTGGTTGGATTTCCTTGTATGAAGATACATATAATCTGATCACAGAAAGCATTGTACTTCAAGATAGATCTTGAAATGTCCTTTTTGATGATGAATGCATCTCCATTCCTTTTGAATCTGTTATTGCCAGCATAATAAACCATCTGATTTTCTGATTGAAAATGGCTAATATCATTTTAGCTTACTAATGCCTAGAATGTTGATGATTTTTATGTGTCCCATTTAATTTTTTACAACTTCCAATTTTCCTAGATTAATAATTTATACATTTCAAGTTCCAATTTTTAATTGGTTATGTGCAGCTGTTTCTTCTCATTTTGAGTCATACCCCATCAACAAGTGAAGTTCCTAAAGGCTTTTCTCCATCCATGTCATTATGGTCGACTATACTTTGAGAAGGCAGCTCTTCCTCAATCATATTTTGATTGCCTTCTGACCTGAGGGCTCATTTTCTGGCACTAACTCTGAAAATGTTTTGCTTCCCTTCATTAGGTTTTTAGTAACTGACAATATTTCAATACTCAGGGTTTTCAGTAGTTAATCCCTCTGAAGCAGATAGTCTATTCCTTCTTCGTAGTCTGTTCTTACTCTGGAAGTTCTGCTTCCAGCATCATAGCAACACACAAGGTACCAGAGTATGTAAAAAAAAAAATGCCAATAAAAGAAAACACTAGAGACAAGAAATTGAAGATTTCCTGTGTCCCTACTACACTTCCTGTACCCCTTTCCAATTACCATTCTCCTCATCTCTAAGTGACCGCCAGTTTTTTGTGATAACAATTTCTTTCAAAATTTTCCAGGAATGGGTGCATATATAAAAACAATGTAATTTAGTTTCGCTTATTTTTGAAGACTATGTATTGTTTTTTTGCATGTATTATTTTGTGACTTGCTTCTCTTAGTATTATTAATTCAATTTATATATTGTCATAATCTGGTTCATTTCATTTTCATTGATGATTGACATTTCTCTTACTTCTTAATATAAATCACCTTATTAGGTGTTCTTACAGATATTATAACAAACCACAAGTCAATTATATCATGCAAACTTGTACATATGTTGCTATCTTCATTTTCTTTTTTTTTGCTATTATCATTTTCAAAACATTATCTTTTATTTGAGCCCTTATTATCAGTTCCTCTTTTTTCTCTCCCTCCCACCCTTATGAGCTCTTGATAAATTATATATATGTATATATATATATGTATATATGTATATATATGTATATTTCATGTCTTACACTGTCCATTGTATCCTATTACCCATGTTTCTGTTGTTTGTCCCCCTGGGGGTGGGGTGGGGGTTATACATCCATCATTGCTACTGGTTCCCCCTTTCTCCCCCTTCCCTCCCCTCCCTTTATGGTATCACTGTTCCCCTGACTGTTTCTGAGGGGTTTATCTGTACATGCTTATATTTATACCTCTATATAAAGTTTTTGCCTCCTAGTTCTTTCCTCTATTTCCTTTAACTTTCCTCCTGATATCCACAATAATGTTAATGTTTGACATTTCACAGTATGAATATGTGACAGTTTATTTATTCATGCTGCTATAAGTATACTTGTACATGTCTTCTGTTGCTCACATGTACACATTTCTTCAGGATATTTACTTAATATTACAACTGCTGTGTCATAGGATATGCATGTTTTCTAGATAAAGCCAAATTATTTTCTAATGGTTGGTCTCATTGTTTCAGATCCTTATTAATACTTGGTATTGTCAGACTTTTAAAATCTGGGGGACAGATATGTAATTCTTTATTATCATAGCTTTGATTTGCTTTTCCTTGATTACTAATGAGATCAGGCATATTTTCATGTGTTCATTGGTCATTTGGATTCCCTCTTTTGTTAAATACTTGTTCAAATAATTTGCTTCATTATTTAAAAAAAGTTTTTTGCTTTGTCTGAGTTTTGCTTCCCCTCTCTCCCATTCCTTTTTTTACAGTATAGTTTGGATACTTGCCCTTTGTCAATAATATATGTTGTAAATATCTTCCCTCATTATGTGACTTGTTTTTTTCCCCACTCTCTTTGTGGTGGTTTGTTGTTGTTGTGGTGTCTTTGAAGTACATTTTTCATTTTCATGTGGTCAGTTTTAAAAAATTATTTCTTTGTGAGCCTTTTGTGTTTTGTGTAAGAAACGTGCCCTTCCCCAAAATTCTCTTATATTAACCCATAACTTTGTATAAATGTTTCCTTTCACCTTTAGGTCTGTAATCAACCTGGGACTTATTTTTTAGTTTAGTGTGAAGTCTCTACCAGGAATCCAGCTTGATTCGTTTTTCACATGGATACCCAGTTGTTCTAGCACCATAATTTTTAAAACTTACCCTTTCTTTATACCACAGGACTCCCTGTGTGATGCAAACAATTAAACAGCAGGCTACTAGCTGAGAGATTATCTGTTTGAATCCACATAGAAGCAGACACCTCAGAAGAAGGCTCTGGCACTCTAATTGTAAAGAGTCACCAAAAGTCCCTACCATCAAGTCAGTGCTGACTCATAGCCACCTTACAGGACAGCGTAGAACTGTCCCAGTGGGTTTTCCTAACTCTTGATGGAGCAGAAAGCCTCTTCTTTCTCTATGGAGCTGCTGGTGGTTTCAAACTGTTGACCTTTCTGCTAACCCAATGTGTACCTATGGAGTGGAGTTCTACTTGGAAACACATGGTGTCACCATTAGTTAGAATCAATAGCAGCTGGTTGGTTTATCATACATTAAAGGTATATTTATAAAGTTTAGTTTGAGCTGTTTATTTTGTTCCATTATTCTGTTTGGTCTTTCAGTCTATTCTAACTCTATGTCTATACCACAGTATCTATTTACTTTTATATTAATTTTGGATGTATGGTGAAGCAAGTTCTCTTCCCTCTTTTTTTATAGAGTGGTTTGGGGTATTTTGACATTTTGCATTTCTGTGCATTTTAGAGTCTCTTTGTCTATAAGAAAATCGTATTGAGATTTAACTTAGATTGTGTTTAACATGTAGATTAATTTGGGGAGAACTGACATTTCTATAAATTGGGTTTTACAATCGATGATCATGGTAATCTTTTCTCACAGTACATCTTCTTTCAGGACTCGGAATAAATTTTCTACTATGTTCAGATAGGTCAGAGTGGGCAGATCAGAAGGAGAAGGATACTAGAAAGTAAAAGAGAAAGCTGCACATTTGGAAAGAAAGATACACCACTCATACTGAAGTTTTCCCCACTCAGAGTCATCAAAATGAAAGACTGTTTTCATTGTAATTTTTCATTAAGTCCTCAAGCACATCCCTAAACATTCAATGGATAACTATTATTAGAAGATGTTGTCTGTACAGCTAGGTAGAACATTCTCAGTTGTTTTTCTCTCAACTACAAATTTTCTCTTCTCTGTCCATGTTTTCCTTGATTCCCTCTAAGGCAGAAGTTACAATGCTAGCCCATCCATGAGTACTCTGTGACTATGGACTCCTTACTTTACATTTCCCACATTCAACCAGTGGCAGAGGGCTGGGGAAAATGATGCCCAGTTTTATGGTAGGAAGGATAAGGCATAAAGGTGTGATTGTTATATTTCTCTGGATGGATTACTCATGAAATGAGACTTCTGTTGCTTTGGCAGATGAAGCCACTCTTCTACTTGAGTCTCTCTGACCTACTTCTGGGAATATGCTGGCTCATTGAGGCACTTATCTATGGAACTTCAGCAGCCAATAAGGACGTTGTCTGCTATAACCTGCAAGCAGTTGGACAGGTAAGGGCTACTGGACTGTGTCCCAGCAAACACTTTGCAAGGTAGGCACACTCACATCTCAATAGGTAATAAAAATCCATCCTGCAAAGTTCATCCTTTGTTATTATATTTTAAAACAATAGCTTTTATTGTTGTTATTTTTCTACTAAAAACACTACTCCTTTATTATAGAACATTGGAAAAGTCAGAGAAGAAAAAAATAATTAAAGTTTCTCAGATATAATCTTAATATTTATGCATATTATATTCCTGAGGAACAAAGATGAAGCTGTTTGCTCCCCAAAAGATTCCTTGCTTGGATGATGAAACATACAACTTTCCTCTAGTTCTTAAATGCTTCCTCCCCCCAACTACCATGATCCCAATTCTACCTTACAAACCCAGCTAGTTCAAAGGACGTGCACTGGTACAGATAGGAACTGGAAACGCGGGATCCAGGACAAATGAACCCCTTAGGACCAGTGGTGAGAGTGGCAATACTGGGAGAATGATGAGGGCAACAAATGTACAAATATGCTTGACACAATGTATGTATGTATGAGTTGTGATAAGAGTTGTACGAGCCCCCAATAAAATGATTTTAAAAAAAGATTCATTGCTTGAAAACCCTAGGGGACATTTCTAAACTGTCCTAAAGGGTCACTATGATGGAAGTTTAATATACCCTTCCAATCTTTTTATCTGAGTATACTTTTAAAAAATCAGATAGTATAATAATATTTTCTATAATTTTTATTACTCAAGATATTGTGATTATATTTCTATGTAATTATATATTCTTCTGCAACATCATTTGAAATGGATGCCCTTTAAATAATAGGAATATTATTAACATTGCTTTTTAAAATACTGTATATGATCATATGAGTTATGTATCTTTTTGGATTTTATCAGTGGATTAATCCACACAATATTGTTTGAATAGGATGTTTCTTTTATATTTCCGAGACTTGCAATATGAGTAAATAAGAATTAAATGACATCTGTACTCATTGAAAGGAGCCTTAGTGACGTAGTGAATTAAGTTGTAATATTGACCCAAAGGTGGTTGGTTCAAACCCACCACCTACTCTCTAGGAAAAAGATAAGGCTGAGTGAGCTCCTATAAAGACTTATCAGTCTCAAAAAATGTAGGTAGAGTAGCTATGAGTTGGAATTGACAGTGGATAGTGGTGAATTTGATTTGGTATTTACTGCTAGATAATTCTTTTGGAGTTTGGGGGATATTTATTTCAATTTAATAGAAAAATAGTAATATATAATATATATAATCCATGTTCTGATATTGCTACCTGTCTCATGAATTTAAAATGTCTCAGAGACTTACTTTGCTCAATAGTGCGAATAGCTTCATGAATTTTAAATAGAGTTAAGGCAGTATTTGTTTTTTTCAATAAGGAAATAAAAACACAGGAAAGATAGTCTTTTTGTTAATTGAGATTAATACATTTATCAAATCATTCCATAATTCATTCACATCTAGCAGAACTGTACATTTGCTACCACAATCAGTTTCGACACACTCTTTTTTATATGGACCTCTTGACATTATTACCCTTTCATCCCACCACCTACTTTGTGTCCCCTTCCCCCCAAAATCCTTGCTGACTATATAGGTTCATCAGTACTGGTTTTCATACCCCCCAAAATGAAAGCACATGTACTGCAACTTCAAGAAGGTAACCCCCAATTATATAACACTCCTGAGATACCCCCTGATAATGTACAATTAAAAACCGCATAAGACAATACAACCCAAAACACATAAGGTTTTGGAATCCACATCAGGTCTAGCATGCATCCAAGGGGAAATCTGACACGTTTTAGCTGTTCAAGTCAGGCTTCTGCCTTTGATCTTCTCTACTCAGCTCACTAATGCACTCTGTGTAGTGACCACTGTTTTCCTATCCCTCAATTGTGAATAGAGGGAGCTCACTGGAGATTTACTTCCTGTGTAGTTCCACCCAAGAATCTTGGGTTCCCACTGTCATCCATATCCTTTTGCAAACCACATTCTCAGAATTTAGACTCTGATACTAATCCCTCCTTCACTTTGCATTGTTAGATTTACAGTCCTGCAGTGACTGATGACATTGTTCTTCCTTGTGTCTTAGTTGACATCTCACTTAGATGGCTGCTTGTTTGGAGACAAGCCTTTAAGACCCCTGACGCTATTTTATTTAATAGCTGGCACCATCTTATTTCTTCACGCATTTTGCTATAGCACCCGTATCTCTTGTATTCCCTTCCTGAGGGCCGGTATAGAACAGGGCCATACTGTAAGCACTAATTGTTCTTAAGTTGGAACTACTATTTAGTGCAAGCCCAAAAGCCATTCCTGGTCTATGCTTGTTTGTTTGATTTTTCTATTTATTCTTGGGAATTAACCCAGAAGTCATGTCATTGCATCATTCAGCCTCTTCAAGTAGAATTGTACCATTGCTTTAGCAAAGATAATCTTTGAAATAAAAAAATCTGCATCAGAATCCTGGATCCTTAACTCATTAGGCAAGTACTTAATCTTCCTGAATTTCAGTTTCCTAATCTGTAAATTAAAACCAAAACGCACTGGTATCGAGTGGATCCCTACTCATGGTGACCCTATAGACAAGCAGGACTGCCCTTGTGGGTTTCCAAGACTGTACAGTTTATGGGAGTAGAATGCCTCATCTTTTTCTCCCTCAGAGTGGCTGGTGGTTTCAAACTGCTGATCATAGCCCACTGTGACACCAAGGCTCCTAATCAGCATCAAAGCATATTATTTACTTTGTGCCTGGCATGGATGTGATGAACATTACTGTGTTAGTCCAGGTTGACTAGAGAAACAAGTCCAGAGATAGTCATGTGTGTAAGAGAGAGCTTAATATCAAAGAGCAATTGTATATTGAGAAAACATCCCAGCCCAGTCCAGATTAAGTCCACAAGTCTGATATGAGCCTGTATGCCCCATACTAGTCCATAAATTCCTCTTTAGACTCACGCAGCATATGTGATGATGCTGAATGCAGGAAGCTCACAGGCCAGTGGTTAGAAAGTTGTGGATACAATGCCGGTGGAAGCATCTCAGCACTGGCTCCTTCAGCTCTGTGAGTATGGCTCTTCAACCGGAAGGTGAAGCATAGAGAAGAGTGTGTGTGGTCTGCCTCTTCTGACGGCAGAATCAAGAGACAAAGTTCCCAGAATCCTCATGAGAAGGCCACGCATGCAAGAAGGAATCGATTAGGCTGTGACCTGATTGACCAGCTAGACTCTACCCCATAACCTATTTATCAAGTTAAGAATTACTTTATTAATTTTTCCTACAGATTTGTTTAGATATAATACAGTAAACTGCATATATTTAAGCTGTACAATTTGATCAGTTTTGACATATGTGTACCCCCATAAAATTATCACCACAGTCAAGGTTTAAATAGTTCTATTTCCATCACCACTAAAAGCTTTCTCCTGCCACTTTAATCTGTTTTCTGTCACTATCGATTGGTTTATAATTTCTACAATCTTATGTAAATTATGAATCATTTCTTTTTTTTTTTTGAATCATTATTTCTTTCAAAACAAACTAGACTTTCACTGAACAAAATGCATTAAAAACTTTTTATTATGAATTGGGTGAAGGTTTACAAAGCATCAATTTTATATTCAATAATTCATATGCATGTTGTTTCATTTAATTCATTGTAATTGCTTCAATGCATCATCACTATCCCTGTTTCCTCCCTGAGTTTCCTATTTCCAGTCTTCCTACTAAGTTAACCCTTATGAGTTTTGTCTTTAGGCAAATACTGCCCTTTGGGTCTTCAGTGGTGGATTCTTCTTCTTCTTTTTTTTTACAGTTTAACAATTGATTTCTTTTCAATTACATGAATCTCATAGTAAATGGTGGATTATTCTAAGTTGAGTGTACCTCACTGATTGCTACTGCTCCCCTGATACACCTGTCTATTGGTGGGAGAAAGATGAGGCTTTCTGTTCCTATAAAGAGTTCCAGTCTGGGTAACTCACAGGGGCAGTTGAGTCCTGTCCTATAGTCGCTGTGAGTTGGCATCAGCTAGATGGCAGTGAGTGTAGTTTCATATTTTTGGGGTTGGGTTGAAAAGTTAGTTGTGGGAATGAGGCTCCATTCAATTCCAGACCTAAAAGTGAGTAAGGATCATAGTCTTGGGAATTCCACCAATCTATATCTGACCACTGAACTTGGTCGTCTTTGCAATTTTGAGTTTCGTTCCACATTTGTCTCCCGTTTTAATTAGGACAATTGATAGTGGTGGCCAGGCATCATCTGGTTCTTCAGGTCTCAGGATCGTGGAGGCTGGTGTTTGCGTGGCTCATTAGTCTACTGGACTCCTTGCTTCCATGTGTCTTTTGATTTTCATCACTCTTATTTTATCAGAAATTAATATCGCCACTTCGACTCCTTTTTTGATTGTCATTAGCTGGCACCTTCCATGGCTGTTCATGAGCAAATCCAGTTGCTGCTCACCAAGATCAATGTAGAATATTATCTTTGTGGACAATGTTATTTCCGCTGACCTTGGTGTCCACCAACACAATGGTCCTGAGCCCCTAAGCTAACCAATTCATTCCTTCAAGGGGTTTGTTTATATTAAGGAATTTTCATAAGTTTTACCCATATACTCTACCCCATTTAAAGATACATTTGCAGCAACAGTAAATACCTAAGTACATGTATCCTTTGTTGAACCTATATACATGTGAATATGCTCCCACCCCACCCCCTCCTGCATTCATTCAGCTTCTCTGTCTCTCCATGCGCTCAGTTCAAAACTCACTCCATTGAGTTGATTCCAACACATAGCAACCCTTCAGGAGATAGTGAAACCGGTTCTGTAGGTTTCCAAGGCTGTAAATCTTCACAGAAGCAGAAATCCTTATCTCTCTTCATTGGCTGGTGTGTTTGAACCATTGAGTTTATGGTTAGCAGCCCAACAGGTAACCTATTATGCCACCCGAGTTCCATCTCCTCTACTTGTAAACCA